AAGATGAATGTTGTTTGGTCAACCTCAACCTCTACTTCTGCCAACCCATTTTTTCATTCCTATAAACCAATTTCATTCTAACATGAACATTTAAATAGCTAAGAAGAAATAAATAAAATACATATATATTCTCTTCAAAACCAACGATAATGAAAGTGGCGGAGGCCATACCGCACCACCAAATCCAAACAACATTGTTGTTGTATCGCAAAAACCAGATCCAAAATACTGCGATGGCATCAACACTGCTGCAGCGACGATGAACGAAGACATAACCTGATCTTCTCCCAATTCATCATCGTCGTTGATCTTCTCCCAAGTCGGGACTTGAGCTATGGCTTGACAATTTCGGTATTTTTATTGGACAAAGCATTCAAATTACTACAGTGTGATGCTACCTCTGTTTGACTATAGTCTCTACTAATTTTATTTATATCCTCACTCCCCATCCCCATGTCAGACTAAAGGAATCTATTACCAGGGGAAGCCCAAGTTCCTTTGATTGTGCAAAGAAGTTATATAGCACCTCTGATGGTCAATTGGTGCACAGCACACCACGTTGTCCCAGAATTGTACGGAGTGGTGCTGCGTCGCGAGGGCCGGAGAGATTGTGGCGCATCACTATTTTGTTACTAGCCAGATGTGCTATGTCACTGGTCGGAGAGAGAGAGAATAGGTATAGAAATGAATTACGGTTTGAGAGTTTAATTGAGTTGGAGGACATGGTTATATATTTTTAATTTATAATATAATTATTACTATTAAATTGTCATCTGATTTTTGTGCCCCTGTTCAATGGAGGTCCAATCGAAGATCAAAACCATTCAAGCCACTCGTGAACGGTAATGAGGTTGAATAATGTTATTTATTATCATTATAATGATAAATCATCATTGATGTGACAGCTTATGTAGAATAATGAGATTTGAAAATTCAATTTTTATTAAAAATGGGGGGAGGAGAGAAAAATATGAGAGATAATGAATAATTTATCATCATGATGATAACATTGCTCAATGGGATTGGTTACTTCTTTAGAAGAAAATTTACATTTCAACTAAATGGTTTATTATTTTATATTATTTGAATAAAATATATGTTTACTTTTCATAATGTCTGTGTTGTATCTTGTTTTTTGTATATAAATTTCAAACGCAACTAAAAAGTCTATTATTGATGATTTTGTTAGTTTTAAACTTAGGGTGTGTTTGATTGTATTTATTTTTCATAAAAATGTCAGTTTTTCACCTAAATTCCTACTTTAGAGTGTTTGATTGCTATTTTTTTATATTAAAAATATTTTTCAAGTTTTGAAAATTTGTCTAATTTTCCTTGTTTTTAAAGAAAACATTTTCTTTGAGAGGACTCAGAGGAGTAAGTTTTTGTTTTCCTCAAAATAAGGAAAACATTTTTTTTCGACAAGATATTTTTCATGTTAATCAAATACGGCAAAACATGAACGGCGAGATTCAAAGAGCCCACATGATTTCTAGTCATGCCCGATAACCACTCCGGCAATTCCACTTGGTGAACTTCAATGAAATATATTATTAGTTTATTTCCATAAGCATACTTGAACTCTTTATTTGATTCTCAATAGAAAATCATAAATTAATTTAGACGTGGGAGTAATGGTTAATCATCTAGTCATCCGCGATTAGAGATTCACACACCTAGGGTTTGATGAGCGAGACGAGAGATTGGAGAGGGGGAGAGAGAATTATTATTTCTATTCAATAATAATAATGGACGACAATTGTCTATTTACATATACAATGTACTATGCATGAGTTGTGTTTACAAAACACATCTAACCACAATCTCTAATATCCACTCATCTCGTGGAAGGACAAGCAAACACACATGTATTTCTATCAGTGTTCTAAAATGCGTAAT